GGATCCGAATACGATTCACAGTGCGCCTGCAGGCTGTCCCTAATTTTCCCTGATTTTTCCGGGAACTGAAACACACTAATAGTACCTGCACGTGTTCCAAAAAAATCCAAATTAGGCCCAGGGCCTCTTTCGGCCCAAATCGCAACTCCGGCACGGCGGCTCCGCCGTGCTCCGGCGACGGCGCCGCCGCTGGCGGCGGCGAGTCGCCTCGGGTTGACTGTTTTCGGCCGTTTTCGGCCGAATTCGGCCACTCTCGCATTGGTCCTTGTCAGAAAACAACCCTAGGGCCCTCGGGGGGCCAAAAAATCACGGCAAAACGGAGCTTACCGGCGGCGGCGCTCTCGGGTGCAGCGGCTCTCCGGCGAGGTTCGTGTTTTGGTGATTCGGCTCCGGTCAACCTGTAGAGAAAAGAATGGTGATCACGGTGATATAAAAATTGCATCGAACGGAGGCCGGGAAGGGCCTCGTCGGAGGCAAAAACCGAGAGGGGGCGCGGCGGCGCCGCTGGGCTTCGGCCGCGTATTCCGGCCGTTTGGCCGGGATTTCGGCCTCGATTTGGCCATAGGAGGAATCAACGGGGAAAAACGAGTCGGGGGTATGAAATTTACCTCGATCGGCGGTCGGAAATTTCCCCGGTGCGGCGGCGAGTGGCGGCGGGTGGCGGCGGTCGACCTCTGGTTCGTCTTCTCCGGCGAGCGGCTGGCGGCTAGGGTTTTTGGTCTGGTGTGGAGGTTCTATTTATAACCCCTTGCCTTTTGATCACAGCCGTTCATTTCGTTTTAATCTGGGCCGTTCGTTTTTGATTGAATCTGGGCCGTCCGTGCGTTTGAATCTGGGCCGTCCGATCGCGTGATTGATCTGGGCCGTCGGATCGCACCCACGCGGATCGCCAACGTGGCTCCTTTCGAAGTGACGCGATCTTGCCACGTGGCAGGCCCTGGTTGGCCGGGACTGCTGACCGGGCCTGCTGACGTGGCTGCTGACGTGGCACCCCTTTTTTTTTTTTTTTTTTTTTTCCTCCTCCTTTCCGGGTGCTACATTCTTGTTCATTGATTTCTTGATTGTTATTATCACCTATTGACTTATTCAAAATAAATGTCTTAATCACGTTTTTTATTTTATTTTCATATTGTCTATTTGTATGTCTTACTATTGATCTGTAAATATAAAATATTGGTATATGATTGGTGACTGGTTGATGATGTGAATATGTGCATGAAAGGTTTATCGGGTATCTTGGGAAAAGGTGTACAGACCCGGTGCATAAAGAAAACCTTATGGTGGATATTACCTCAGTCAAACAGGATTGAGAAGTCCCATACTGAAAGGGGTTTGGGAGGTATAGTTCAACTTCATACCAAACGGGGTATTGAGGCGGTGACATGCTTGAACACCCATTACCGAATGGGGTATGGGGACAATCAGTTAATTTGTAAATTGAATATTGGGTCCACGCATAGGAAAAATCACTATTAACCCCCAATGGTACTGGTAAGTAGATAAGAAGGTAAGTTTACTATTATTGTTTATTAAAATGTGTAATAAAATGTTATTCTCGTTCATATGTCAGTTTTAGAAACTCATAAAGCTAGGTATGAAAATAACATTTTTTTATGATAAATGAATTTATTTAAAAAGAGATAGTGACTCTATTGGTTGTTTTACGATTTTTTACCAATCTACAATTTCTACATCGGTGTTAAGCGTGACATTCTTATTGAGTTAGTAAAGTTCATATCCCTTATTTAACTATTTCAAATCAGAAATATCAAGATTTAGATTTTGAATAGTAAGAAGATTATGAATAAAAGTTGCTTCCCACATCTCATTAATTAAGAAAGTACTTTTAATATAAGTTATTACGAGAGTCTTTTTTCTATAAGTTCTTATAAAAACATTTTCATTGCTCGATAACTATATAATCATACTACTACTTTAATAATGACTATAAATAAGTTATTATCTTATTAAGACTGAACAATCTGATATTTTCTTATAAATAAATAGCATTAGTTCAAAAATAATAACATTTTGAATAGAACTACATAAATTTAAAAAGTAAAACACCAAATTATATTCTAGAAATTAAACAAAATCCGAAATCTTGCATTAACACCAATGGTATAATTACTACATCGAAATATATTAATAGGTAAATGTTTAATAAAATTAAAATAAATATTTATAATATAGAAGTAAATTTTGAAAGAGGAAATTGACAATTTTTTTTATTAATTACTTATTTTTTGTTAACATGAGTTTTAGAAAGTTAATTATTTGGTCATAAAGCAATTATGAAGAGGTTAATGTCAGCTTCCATATTGTTCACTACAGAAAAACACATGCAAGATTTGTAGAGCCCACTTTATGCATCAATTTTCTGCTAACCCATCTACATATATATATATATATATATATATATATATGTATATATGTAGGCCACTAAAATTGAGACCACCCAAATTTTGCCATATTAACACATGCATAAAGCATGTTCGTATTAAACAGGAAGGTATAATCATTAAGAGAGAAATATATATACATACATGATGAGCTGTGTATCACCTAATTTATTCAATAAATATTTTCATATCTTTTAGTCAAAAGATTATAACAATTAATTAGTAATTAAATGTGCTCATGTTAAACATTTTACATTAAGCAAATGGTGAGTTATAAAAGCACTAAGGTTGTTACTAGTAGTAATAAAGAGTTATAATTTAAGGATTAAAAACAAACTCTGTGAATTTAAAACATGTTCATATTGAATCGTTGGGATTATATATATATGAAAATTGAAGCATATATGAATTTATAACGGAAGAAATTTATATGTTTTGCAGTAGATCTTTTAAATCAACATGTGATCATTTTGAGTTCTTGTACTCTCTCTATTTATAGTGTCGGGATAACATAATAAAAAAATTCAACGTATAATTTAGAGAACATATCCCATTTATTATATTTTTAAGTTTTCGTTATTTCTAATTCGATCTATCATTAAATTAAAAATAATAGTTTTAGTCTCTGCAAATAAAAAGCTTACACTTTATTTGACGTATTAAAATTTAATATTTTTTTAATTTTAACGTATCATTTTTAACGATCTCACTTAAATTAATAGTTATTTTATGTACAATAAACTCATATACAAGTCTACAAAGTTGGTCGACGAAATGAATAAGTAGATAAACATAACATAAACGAAATAATAATTAGAATTTATCTACTCACGTACGCGAGTGGATTAACCAAATTACAAGTCAATTAATCATAAATACAACAATTAGTTTACTTGTATTATTATCAACTATTTTTAATTGCATAGTTGATATTTTTATGTCTTTTTATAAAATTATAAATTTATTTTGTATACTTATTACTTTAGTTGATTGCATATTTTCTTTTGAGAAAATTATAATAAGGGTGTTAATGTATAAAATTTATTTTTTAATTATTAAAATATATAAATTTTAGTTTAAAAAAATTAATTTTATTATGAAAATATTTAATAATTAATTGAAATATATTGGGGTGCGTGTAGAGGTGGTGGTCAACAAAAGAGGAGAGCAAACAAAAAGAGAAGCAAGTGGAACTTCATGAAGGATGGCCACCCACATTCATTCATGGAAGCAAGTCATCGGCAAAACGACACTTTGCTTTTTCCATTTCAACAAACAAAATTTGCTATTTATTCAATTGCTCCATATCAGCACCTAAAGAACCCTTCGATATTTTGCATTTTCTTCTTTTATATATATATATATATATTTCATATATAATAATAATAGCTCTAAATACTAAGAACCCATCTCTGCAACTACTATTTTTTTTTCCCTCTTTTCCCTGTAGTAGTTCTTTCTCTTTATCCATTTATGGAACTAACTGTACATATTTCAAAACACTGAAGGGATGAGATTAGACCTAGTCCTGCAGAAAACTAGCTCAGACCCCCTTTTTTTTTCTTTTTTTTTTTTTTTACCCAATACAGGTTTTTTGATTAATTATCTGAGTTGGTTTCACCTTCTTCTTCTTCTTCTTCTTCTTCTTCTTCACTTTTTTAACTTTTTACCAAAACTTTTCACTGTCTTCAAGAAGCTGGCTGCTACAGGCCTACTCCAAGGAAATCAATGTAGGGCAGGTTGATCTTCTCATTGTCCCCAGATGAAGAGAGATTAATCCGGTTAGTGCCCACTGACTCAGCTCCTGAGACCTCTGAGTTTGAATCTGAGTGACCCGATTGGTCCACACCCACTACTCCATTCCCATAAATGAACCTGTCAAAATCTCCATTTCCCATTGCAATCACCTTTTCTCCAGATTCTCCTGCACATCCCCAACACCCACAATTACTTCATCTTTTAAATTTAGCTCAAATGAAATAAACCCATTAATTAAACACACATATATGACATACCCATCAGCTTAACTGGTCCAAGAGTGTTGAGAAATGGTGGGGAGACTTTAGCTGAAGGAGTGAGGGAGAGATCAGTGCAGGTTGAGGCAGATTCGTCAATGGTGCTGGAGATGGTTGATTCGCTGCAAGCATTGTTGTTGTTTTGAACAGTGAGGTGATAAGGATGGCAAGAGGAAGAAGAAGATGAAGTGGGTTTTCTTCGTCTGTAAATGCTTGCTTGTTCTCTGTGCTTTCTCGCCATGATCACATGCCAATGATTCTTCACTGCATTATCAGTTCTTCCTGGAAATAGTCTTGCAATCATTGCCCATTTGTTGCCATAAAGACGATGAGCAGCTAACAGTCTTTCCTCTTCATCTTCACTGAAAGCCCTCCTGTTGATTCTTGGATCTAGCTGGTTAAACCACCGTAATCTGCAGCTTTTTCCTGTAGATGAAACAGAGCAGGAAAATTTCAAAAGCATTTAACATTTTGGGTTATCATCGGTTTCAACTAATTCCCATTTAACAAAAACCTCTACTCTCGTGCAAACACTCCATAAAATCTGAAACGGTTTGACCGGGTTGAGTAACAAAAAACTGAAAAAAATGAAGACTTTTTTTTCTCTTCGTATTTTCTTGCAATGAATATGATGAGTCAAACACATTTAGAGAGTAAAATACCTGATCTTCCTTCAAGATGTTCAGCTATCAAGTTCCAGTTTTGAGGGCCATATTGAGCTACGAGCTCTTTGAGTTTAGAATCTTCAGCCGGTCTCCAATGGCCTCTAGCACAAAGCTTAGTATGGCCGTTTTTGCTACCACCAGAACTTTTCCCTTCCTCTTCCTGATCATGACCTAAATTTAAGGACAACTTGCCCTTATTTTCAGACCCCAAAAACCCATCTTTCTCATCATTGATTCTTTTCGCTCCCATTTGAGAATCTTCAAAGTTGTTTGAAAGAGAAAGGTGAGGGGGTAAAGTAGGAAGTTGAGGTGGAGGGGGAGGTAAAAATGGAATCCCTTGAAACCCAGTAAACCCATTAGCTTCACAGCTAAGCTGTTCCAGATTCAGATTCATTGGAACCCGGATGAGAAACTGAGAGAGAAGAGAAAACTTTAAAGACCCAAAAGGATTTTCTCCCTACAATGCAAGAAACAGAGGAGGAAGAAAAGGCAGGATCTTGGAAAAACAGAGGGTTTCCCTTGTGAGTGATTCTCAAGAGAAGGAGATCGAAATGGGTAGAAAGAGATGGGAAAGCATTTTGGAAGTAAAGGGAGAAGAAATTTAAGAGAGGAAAGAGGAGAAAAAGAAGAGTGAGAAGAATGAATTCAATGAAGGGGGAGGAAATTAAATGGAGCAAAATAAGAAATTTAAGAGAGAGAAAAAGAGAGAAGAATCCACACGATTGTATGTAAAATAAAGAGAGAGAATTTAGAGAGAAGAGTCTAAAAAGTGTGGCAAAGTCTGAGCATGAAACTCGAGAACCGCTCGTGTGGGTGAAGGTGGGGTTGGGTTTGTGTCCTTCAAAAAACATATGCTTTGGTTTTGGTATTGATGTTGGGTGTTTGGTGTTTGGCGTTTGTTAATATATATATATATATATTATATTGTGTGTATATATATATATATAGGTGGGGTATAGGTACATATATATATGTATATATCTCGGGGTTTGGAGAAAAACCAGAATCTGTTTGTCTGAAAGCGAAAGGCTTTTGCTTTTTTCAAAGGAAAACGGAAATCAAATGGACCAGCCAAACAGTCCTTAAACATCACCCCCCTCTACCCACCCGTCTTCTTTGCATCCGTTTTGTTTTTATGCCATTTTCCTCTTAAACCCACCATTATCACTTCTCATCCAACTCTCTCTCTCTCTCTCTCTCTCAATTTAATTCTCATTTTTAATACCAATTATTTTTTGGTTGAATTATAGATATTTTCACATTTTTCATGAGAGTATGTTTTTCATTTTTAAAGAAATAAATGTTCACTCGAGTCAATAATTTATTTTAACTACTATAATTAAAAAAATTTAATCATTACGAAATATTTATTTCGTATATAAATGTAATAAATTTTATAAAATTTTGTCTAATTTAGTCAGTATACTCTTATTAATTCTATAGTGAGTTAAATTCTCAAACCCGCTAAATTAAATAATATAATTAAATTATTATTAACTTATAATATATTAAGAAAGTAAAAAAATTTATATTTTTTTAATAAAGTTTGTACTTATAATTTTTAAATAAAATATAAGAGTCTGAACCATTAAATCACAGTGTTATCGGTTATGAAAGTGTAGATTTGAGCCGGCAATTGTGTCATATGTGTCATAATTAGATGTTGTATCATCATTACTATGTAGATTTTATTGAAATGATAAAATTTGAAGATTTTTACTAAAAGAATCTTCAATATCATAATTATAATTAGAATTTCATTACCAAAATATTAAATACAAATTTCAAATAAAATAAAATAAGCTACAAAACACATGTAATCACCAAAGATAATAAGTCTATTTAGTAAGTAACATGTTTTCCATTTCTATTATTTAAGTTGGATTGTTGTTAGTAATATTTTAATAACAAAATAATGCAAAAAGATAAAACTACAAAACTATAAGCATAATGAAATCATTATAAATATTGCAAGTAGCTATATGTTAATTAAATTTTCTTTGTTTTTTTTTTAGGAATTATACATTTATTCCATCATAAGATCTCTCTATCAATTAACATAGTTGTATAAAATCATATTTAACAGCCAAAATTTATCTGTCCTAATTAATGGGTTTTGGGAAGTGTTGATGGCTTAATTAATAACAAGAAATGAAGATGTAATTGAGATGCTAGAGCTTTTTAATTGAAATTCACTTAAGATTATTAAGTTCAACAATGAGAAGTAGAGGAAATCTATAGATTGGTTGGTCTAATTCAGTCAAATGCCAACTCAAGTTCTTAAGCTCATACTAATTTATGGTATCTAATCAAATTTCAATTTCTTTGCTTAATTATTAAAAACTAATTTTTTTATGAGTAATAAATAAATAGATAGATATATTATATGTAGCGACCTAGAATTTTAAAAGAAAATAAATTACAAATTGAATGCGAAAGTGAAATAATAAAGTTAGAGTTTACATTCCTTGCATAATAATTTAAAATACCCAATAGGACTAAGAGAATGATGCTTCTAAAAGAACAAGCGAAAAATCAAGAAATAAATGAAAAGTAAACAATTAGGTATCTTATGACGACTTTCACTAACCTTTGAAGGGAGTCTAGGTGGTGAACTATTCACAACCTCGTTGTTGATCAGGATCTGGATCTTGATCCTCTTGATCTGAAATAGTTAATAAAATGGTAAACTACACTAGTTTAGTAAGAATATCACGCTACTCACCGATACAGAAATAAAAGTTAGTAAAAATCATAAAAATAACTAATTGAGCTCTTAATTTAAGTAAATTTATTTCTCATAAATAAAATCGTTTATTGCATACTTACCGTAGCGAGATTTTCAAAACCGACCTATAGAGACAATAGCTCAACAACATCATAATCTTATATTCAAGTAAATAAGAATAACAATTTTTTTTTATCTGTTTACTAATATCCATGGGAGTCCATAGGGATATTCCCACTACGTGTGAACCGTTATTCAACATTGTTAACTAACTGGTTGTCTCCATACCCCGTCCGGTATAAGCGCAAAAAATATCATCCCTCAATACCCCGTCTGGTATGAGTACCAAAATATCAATCATCGATACCCCGTCTAGTATGAGGCGATGTTCACGGTAGGGTTCCCTATGTACCCGATCCGTCCACCATCTCCCAAGATATTCAGTAAGACTATCATTCATTCATTCACCTAATCAAGCAATTTTTGTTTACATTAAATTTTTAATTTCAGAATTTAACTGCAAATCACGCAAGATAAGCAATATACGCATCAAGAAAACACAACTGAATTATCTTACCAATTCTAGTGTATTATTATTCATTTAAAATTGTAAGATCAAACAATTAGTTAAAACAGAATAAACAGTAATAAATTATAAATAGAATGCGGAAGCGAAATAAGAGAGTTAGAGTTTACATTACTTACACAATAATAGAGAATATCCAATAGGGTTACGAGAATGATATTTCTAAAAGAACAAACAAAAAATCAAGAAATAAATAAAAAAGTAAACAATTAGATATCTTATGACGACCTTCACTAACCTTTGAAGGGAGTCTAGGTTGTGAACTATTCACAACCCCATTGTTGATCGGGATCTTGATATTGGTCCTCTTGATCTAAAATAGTTAATAAAAAGGTGAGGTACATTAGTCCAGTAGATATCACACTATTCACCGATACAGAATGAAGTTAGTAAAATTATAAAACAACTAATGAGCTCTTAATTTAAGTAAATTC